GCGGTGACGGGACCAGCGCAGCCCAGCGCTGCCCATGGTGTGGTGCTTCCCCACCGGAGTGTCTCGGAGCCCACCCAGGAGGTCCCTGTGTCGCACTCGCTCGCCGCCCAGGCCCCGCTGGTGCTTTGGAGACCACAACAACCCCGCGCCGCCAAACGCTGCTAGCACTGCCCTGGGGCGCGAACCCGGGGCCGAGCAGGGCAGGGAGCAGACACAGGGGGCATTTGCCGTATCCACAGGTTTTCCCGGCTGCAGGAAAACGTGCATTGAGCGCTTTCCCGTCCGCCCCGGACGATGACGGAGCAGGACCAAAAGCGGGATCGGTACCGGGGCGGAGCCGGGCCGGAGCGAAGGGGACGCGCTCTGCTGGGGGCGCGGCCTGCGCCGAGGCGCTTTAAAAGCGCGGCCGCCGAGGCGCTGTCGCTGCTGCTCACTCCGCCCTGTGTGTCTGTGTGTGCCCCGGCTCCCGGCCGCAATTCCTGCTGCGCCACAGCCATGGCGGCGCTGACGGTGAAAGCCTACCTGCTGGGCAAGGAGGAGACGGCCCGCGAGATCCGCCGCTTCACCCTGCCGCCTCCCGCTCGCTACCGGGCCATCTACGACCGCGTCGCCGAGCTCTTCCAGGGGCTGCTGCGGGCCGGGCCGCCGCCCGCCTTCCGCATGCACTACAAGGGTGAGCGGGGCTCGGGCCGCTGCTGGGGCCGGGGCCGGGGGTATCCCGGGGGTGGCAGATCTCGGGGAGCGGGGCTCTGGGTACCCCGTTACCCCCCGTGACACCCGACCGGGCCCCTCATCGTGCGCTTCGCCCTTTCCAGATGAGGACGGGGACCTGATCGCTTTTTCCTCCGACGAGGAGCTGGAGTTGGCGATGCCCTACGTGCGGGATGGCGTATTCCGTGTTTATATCAAAGGTACGGCCGCGCAGCTCCGGAGGGCACGGCGGGTCTCAGCTGAGCGCCTCCTGGCAGCGCTCCCGAAACCGGGCGAGCCAGCCCAGCCCTGGCCCTTCCCCGTGTCCTCGAGGGCCTGGTGGAAACTGCTGCCTCTGCGGGGGAGGTTAAATAAAGGGCAGTGTAGTATGACAGAACATGAGTTTGAGGTGGGATAAACAAACCACAGGTTTCCTCCTGGCCCTATCAGCTGGCCCAGTGCGAGGCTCTGTTGTCATTCTCATTCCCTGGATACACTAAACTGGCACTGGTATCCTAAATATTCACAACGTGTTAGCCTTAAATCCACTTTCCCAGGGCATAGTTGCTCCCCAGTCCCTTGTGTTCAGGTAGAGGCCCTCAAAGCTTTATCTGCTGTCCATCTACTGAGCCACACCTGTTGTCCCCGTTCTCATGTTAATGCTTCCTGGCATCCACGTTCCTAACTCCTTCTCCAGAAACATTTTGTTCTTGCAGTGCTTGGGAAGGTAGGATGAGAAGCCAGATGAGGTGGTGCAGTACTAATCTAAAATAAGCATGCCAAGAGATACTTAGGATAAGGTATGCTTGGTTTCAGGAGAAGGTATCTTTGCAAAACCTCTTTGCATGTGGTTTAAGGTCTCTTACATGAGCCTGGCTTAGGTTTGACAGCCAGTGTAAAAATAAACTGACCTAGTAAGTCAACACTCTTCTGATGGGCTGTTTGTGCTTCCTCCTCTGCCTGACTTCCAGGCTGTAAATAGTAACCTGATATTGATGTGAAGTTTCCTTTCCTTAACAGAGAAAAAGGAGTGCAAGCGGGAGCACCGCTCGCAGTGCAGCCAGGAGCCTCCCCGCAACATGGTGCACCCCAACGTCATCTGTGATGGCTGTGAGGGACCTGTGGTGGGCACCAGGTTCAAGTGCAGTGTCTGCCCAGACTATGACCTGTGCAGCACCTGTGAGGGGAAGGGCATCCACAAGGAGCACAACATGGTGATGTTCCAAAGCCCACTGCTTAATCCATTTGAGGTGAGCAAAATCTCTCAGGGGGAACTGATGAGTGAGAGATTCCTCAAATTCAAGTTAGGAGGAGTTTCAGTTGCTCAGAAGCCAGTGTCACATGAGTGTCACTCTTTACAGTGGCTTCCCCGAGGACGCTGGCTCCGTAAAATGCGCCATGGAGTTCCACCCTTCCCATGGATGCACTGCTGGGGCTATCCTGGGCCTGCAGCTCCCTGCCAGAACTCGGAGCAAGCTGAAGCCACCACTGCAGCCCCCAGTGCACCTGCTGCAGAAGGTGAGAGGAGATGCCCTGGTAGACAAGGTGGTGGTGGAGCCTCAGACCAGCTGAGGTTCTGCAGGACAGGGTAGAGTCTGGGTGGGAAGACAAACAAAGGAACGACTCTAATTTGCTTGAAATAATTGGCACCTTTCAGCACTAAGTGTGATTACTTAAGGTGTGCTTGGGTGCATGCAGTGAATGAGGATGCAGATAAAGTATCTGGAACCCAACCAAGCCGAGCTGTTAGGTCAAGCATGTCACTATTCTACTCCAGGTCTGCCTTTCAGCATGGGTAATGAGCCATAACAATGCTAATGCTGGCTTTCTGTTACAGAGGTAGCTCAGTTAGTTTTTCTCTGTAGTGCTTTGTTCTGTAATGTATGTGAGTGACAGGAATGAGCACTAAGCTCCTGTGGGGACACACCCCTGCAGGTGCCCTTTCCCTCAGAGCTTGTGTGTGCTAACAGAAATTGTTTTTCTAGAAGCTTCTACTAACAGCCAGCCTCAGGACCCCAATGTCACCTTCCTAAAGAATGTTGGGGAGAGTGTTGCAGCTTTTCTGAGTCCCCTGGGTAAGTGACCTACAGTTTGTTACCAGTCCCTGAGACTGGCTTACAGGTCTGTTTAACAGGAGCAGCAGTCAGTTGTTGTGACTGGTCTTGGCATTACCTCCTGTGTCCTAAGCCTCAAAGGCTTAATTTACACTTGGATACTAATAATGCTTAGGCTTAGAACAGCCACTCAATACCTTTTCTTTGAGAGAAAATTAGGAAAGATTTCATTAATGTGTCAGCACTGTAACACTAACTTCAAGTCAGTGGTGACTTTGGATTTTGCCTGGTTTATGTGGACATATTATTAAAGAAGGTTTTGCATTTTAATTCCTGCATGTTACATGGCAGATTGTAGGATGATAGAAACCTTAAGAGTGTAGAGCAGGATTGATCCATTTAGGACCGTGCTTTGGAAAAACCTCTTAAGACTTTGTCCACCTCAAATGCTTTTCTAGGTATTGAAGTTGATATCGATGTGGAACACGGAGGACAGAGAAGCAAAGTGACTCCCACTTCTGCCAACCAAGAGAAGACCAATGCTGAGGCAACCAGCAGTGCTCCAACCCAGAATGTTCAGACCAGAGCAGACTGGAATAACACAGAATCTGCTGCACAAGTAAATGTCATTGCAGAACAGATGCAAGACATGGTGGTAGATCCTGTGCCCACACAAATGGAAGATGGCAGCTTCCACTCCCAGGTACAGGAACTACCACAGTAATTGAATACAATCACTTAGCATGCACTGTGGGAGTGAATATTAAGATGAGAGCAGATTAAGTGATATACAGCAAAGGTGGTGGGACTTGTTGTGGATGTAATTCTTTACATTAAAGGCAAATAGTAGGAATGTGCATACTGCCTGGAAAGCACTACAGCACATGGACCTTTTTTTTTCCATTTTAGGAACACAGTGAGTCTAGCAGTTCATCGGGGGGTGAGGAGGACTGGACCCACTTATCATCCAAAGAAGTGGATCCTTCCACAGGTGAACTGCAGTCTCTGCAGATGCCAGACACAGACGGTCCCAGCTCCCTGGATGTGCCTCGGGATCCTCCCCAGCCAGGACCTACAGGACTGCGGGAAGCTGCTCTCTACCCACACCTGCCCCCAGGTAGGAGAGTGGGAGCAGCTTTCATAGCTAAGAGTAACTCTGGCTTGGGAACTGCCAACTTGGCCTGACACAAGCAGACTTGTTTTAGAGGTGGTAAAAACAAAGGTTGTGTAAGATAGAGCTAAACCTGTCCCTGACTTGGGCAGGTTTGGCAGCTCTTGCACCCTGTTGGAGATGATCAGGTGGTTCCTCTCTTGAATGTGGGTCGCTAAGTCTTAGCCAGATGTCTGACCTTGGGCCAATGTGCCATTTGAGCAACACAAAATAGGTGCTGTCCTCAATCGTGTCTTTGCTGTGTACTGCTCAAGAGAGCCTTTTAATGCAGGATGTGGACCAGTACATCCTGTGGCTTTAGGGCAGCACTTTGCTGTGGGAGCCAGTAACAGTATTCAAGGCCCCTCAACTGACATCAGCAGGACCGAGTCCCACAGCAAGGCCAGCTGAGCCTGACTAAGCACTTTCCTTAGCTCTGGTTATGTATTGTTTATCTCAAACATCTGCACTCCTGGGAGACAAAGAAGAGCATGTCTCCTCTTGAAGAGTGCCACTGAAGCCTTGCCTGGTTTTCCAATTACATGAAATAGCTGAACTCTCTTCCTCTTCCCACAGAAGCTGACCCTCGCCTCATCGAGTCTCTGTCCCAGATGCTCTCCATGGGCTTCTCTGATGAGGGTGGATGGCTCACTCGGCTCCTGCAGACCAAGAACTGCGACATTGGGGCAGCACTAGATGCCATCCAGTATTCTAAGCAGCCACCTCACTTGTAGTAGTAACAAAAAGCACTTTTCTAGCTGAAAGAAGATAAGGCAGCATCAGCTACTGTGGTTCATCATTCTTCCTACTCTGGGTTTCTGTCTCATGTTCTTAAGTGCTTGTAGAATGGAGGAAAAATAAATACTACTGCATGTCATGTGTCTGTGGAACATTTCAGTATCACAGCTATGTTATTTATGGATGGGGCTGAAAACATGAAGCAGCCCAGCACTGCTTTCTGCACATCTTTGGTGTACACTTAGGACTACACTTAGGAAGAGAAATCCAGTGCTTTGCTGGCTCTGGAGCTTGCTTACAGCTCTGGAGGAAAAGGTTGCTATGGGAGATTTCAACAGAGATGTAGTTCAGGGGAAAAAGAGCTGTAGTTTGTGAGGAGGAGTTAATCACAGAATTTAATTGTACAGGCCAGGAATCCTTAAAGCCTGGGAGATTTCTCTCCCCAAGCTGACCTAATTCCATTCCTATTTCTAGCTGCTGAGGTTGCTAGACAACCTTGTAACCTGAGAGCAACAGTCTCTTCTCCCTCCTTCCCTTCCCCCCAAACAATCATCAAGCAAGTAAACAACTTTAATACTTCAGTTCTCTATGGCTTTGAGTGAAACCACCTTTAGTTCAAAACTGTCTCAGTAAACAACATCTCAAATACATTAGAACCAAGACAGACATGCCAAAGATGCCTGAACTTCAGAGATCATCATCAAACTCCTCACCTGTGCAGAAGAGTTGCTCACAAGAAATGTTGCTCAGCTTTGGCCCAGGGTTAGATTTAACAAGGGTGTTTGGCCTCCCTGTGGTAGCCAAGCAGCACCTTCCTGCAGTGTTCTCTGCAGCAGATCCCACCCTTAGCACCTGTTTGTGAGGTTCTCTGAGCACATCCTCAACTGAGCACCTGCTGCTGGGCAGTGTTGAGGCCAGATCCTCAGTGCTAGCAACAGACTTTTTAAATTTAAAACCTGTACCCTGAGGCAGAGTTCTTCCAGCCTGTCCTGAGCACCTCCAGGCCCCACCAGCAGCTGTGCTGTCCAGCCCCACACCTCCCCTGCCTTCCTGCAGTGCCATGGTCACTGCAGCAGCATTTTCACTAGAGCTGTCAGATGATGAGAGAAATTTTCCCCACTTGGATGGTTTGGTACAAGCAGTTGGGGGCTGTGTATTCTCCTCAGACACTACAGTCTCACAGACAGCAGGAACCACACTGCCTCCAGAACCAGCATTTCCATCATGTCCATCAGGCACTGCTACAAAGGATTTCTTGCACTGTAAGAAAGGAGAGAACTTGGTTATAAATGCAGCATAGAAGCATTAAAGGTGGCATTGACTTTGCCTAAATAAAACCTTTCAGAGAGAAACCCCCAACGTTTTTTTTCTCCCCAGTCAATCATTGGCTTGCTTGGAGAAGAACAGAGAAAGACTCATAAAAATTCAAAATCATGATGATACAAAAGAAGTCAGAAGCATCTTCTATAGCTAAAATACCTCAGTAGTTTTAACTTTTTTTGCTTGATAGACAAGCTGAGAAACTCCACTTTCTTCTGCATGCTCTGGAACATCGCTGGAGAGGAAGCGCTTCGGGTGTTTCCTGGCCAAGAGAACCATTCACAAAGAGGAAAGATTAGATCCACTGTGATTCTTTTCACAGGAGAGGTTTATAAAATGGATGGCTCTTTGTCCCCAAGTACCAAATCCCTCAGCTCAGGTCATACACTGCAACCTGCACCCAAGCTCAGATCTCAGAGCTGAGCTCCCTCCCACACCTCCAAATCAAGTGTCACCACTCGGGGGCAGGAATTGCAAAACCAAGTTCTCTCTGTACCTTTGTTCTCCCACAGTGTTCTTTCTCTGGGAACAGAACTGTTGCCTTCCCAGAGCTGCCTCCTCCTCATCTTGATCCTCACTCTCCTGGTCCAGATATTTACTCCAGCGACTGCCTTCTGTCCTTCCCTCCTACAACACTGGAGAGTTACTACAACCAGCAAAACATGGGGGTTCTCATTTTTGGTATTGTTACACATACTAAATGCCTCAAATCATTAATCAGTTTAGGATTTGATACACCATTTCAGCTGTCTGGTTCACTGGTTTCACCAGGATTCACCCAGGACAGAATGGGTTTGGATTTACCTCAGCTTTGCAGGGATCTTACCTGCTGGACTGAACTGTCCTCATGCTGTGCTGCTCTATTTTTGCTGTCATTTACAGAGTCTTCTACACACCTAGAATAGAGGTTTAAACTACAATTTCTAGAACATACTCCTGTCTGTTGATTTATAGGCTTCAAATCACCCAGTCACAGCACAAGGGATTGACTAGAAAGCATGGATAGGAACACTGGACAGAAGACATATCAGAAAAAACAGGATCTATGGAAAAACTTACGCTAAATGAATGATTTACAAGATACATTGCACAAATACTTGATTAAATCTAGTTACAGACTCTAGTTAGAGCCCTCCTTGTTACTATACAAAATTGCAAGTTTGATCTAAAGCCACTAATTATGAAATTAAAAATTTTAACTTATCATAATGAGGGATATAACAGTGTTTGTTTGCTACAACATTTTAAACTCACTCATTTTATCCCATGAAAGCAAGGAAAAGAGAGGTTGTTTCATAATGTTTTGATTGTCACAATTCTTTGAAAATAAAAATAGCAACACTTTTTGATGAAGTGAACAATGAGTTTTCTTCCCCAGGCCTAACTGTGAAGTACTGTGTAGTCACAACCAAGTTATATAACTACCCTTGACTGATCTCTGAAAATAACTTTGAGTAAAAAGGAGGCTGGACGAGTTCAAGACTACTTCAAGATTACATGATTTATAATCAGATCCAGAAATGAAATAAACAGGAAGGTGCTACTCAGATTTTCCAGCCCAGCAGGAATTACACTGAAGTGTTTGCCCTGAACAAGTTTCTTATCACTAGCAGCAGTGATCACTCAACAGATTCACACTGTGAACTCCCTAAATGCCAACAGTTAGGCAGCAACTTCTTCAAATGGATGTTTTTTGAGGATGTAATCTGTAAAAGGGATATCTCCACAGTCAGGTCATCAAACAGTACATAAGAAAGACCAAATTAAAAATAAAATATCAAAAAACAACAAACCCAAACCCTATTGTGTACATATTAATGAGTAAAGGCCTGACCCACACATGCTATTGATCACCTATAGTTATCTGAAAGAAATACTTATCTAAAGAAACATGCTGGGACACTAAACCCCCAACAAAGAGCTTGTTCCTATGAAGTGAGGCCAAATCCAGCACGGTCAAGGCTTCTCAACAGGCCAGAAAACCTGGCTGTGACATGCTCGGGTGGACCAACAGGCACTGGGTGTGTGAAGATGCACATCAGCTGCAGCACATCAGAAGCAATGAGCAGCTAAAGGTTAAACACCGTACCAAGATGTCCAACCAAGCGCCTCCTCTGCTTCACCCTGCAGCAAGTTCAGCTTCTGGACGTGGCGCCTGCACTCCAGGCCCGAGCCCTGCCCATAAACCTGCACAGAATGAATGAGGACAAGGTGAGGGAGCAGCCAGAGGGGCACAGCACGGGGTGAGGCGACAGCCCAGGTGTCACCGAGGGCCAGCACACGCGGCTGAGGGTGCAGGGCTGCCCTCACCTTCTGCACGGCCTGGCGCTGGCCGCACACGCTGCAGCTCCACCGCCCGCTGCGCTTGGCCTGGGAGGACACAGAGGGGTCGGTCAGGGCCGGGACCCACTGCCCCCGTCCCGTCCCGTCCCGTCCCGTCCCGTCCCGTCCCCACCTGCTGCCCCTGGAAGCGGCGGCAGCAGCAGCACCGCAGCACCCAGAACTGCTGCGCCATTGCGGTCACGTGATCACCGCAGCGAGCAGCCAGCGCCCCTCGGCGGAGACACCGGGCAGCGACACCGGCACCGGGACACCGGGACACCGGGCAGCGACACCGGGCAGCGACACCGACACCGGGACACCGGGACACCGGGCAGAGGCACCGGCACCGGGACACCGGGCAGAGGCACCGGCACCGGGACACCGGGACACCGGGCAGAGGCACCGGCACCGGGACACCGGGCAGAGGCACCGGCACCGGGACACCGGGACACCGGGCAGAGGCACCGGCACCGGGACACCGGGCAGAGGCACCGGCACCGGGACACCGGGCAGCGACACCGGGCAGAGACACCGACACCGGGACACCGGGCAGAGGCACCGGCACCGGGACACCGGGCAGCGACACCGGCACCGGGACACCGGGCAGCGACACCGGGCAGCGACACCGGGCAGCGACACCGACACCGGGACACCGGGCAGCGACACTGGACAGAGACACCGGGAGCGACACCGGGAAGAGACACCGGGCAGCGACACCGGGACACCGGGCAGCGACACCGGGCAGCGACACCGGGCAGCGACATCGGGCAGCGACACCGGGCAGCGACACCAGGCAGCGACACCGGCACCGGGACACCGGGCAGCGACGCCGGGAAGAGACACCGGGCAGCGACACCGACACCGGGACACCGGGAAGAGACACCGGCACCGGGACACCGGGCAGCGACATCGGGCAGAGACATCGGGCAGCGACACCGGCACCGGGCAGCGACACCGGCACCGTGACGGGCTCTCCCCGCTCACAAACCAAACACATCAGGTCACCGTCCGAGCGCCCTTCACCGGGCGCAGACCTCGGTTTGCAGTGGCCGGCTGGCCCTGCGCGACCTTCCTGTCTGCAGCCGCATCAGCACCGGCCAGGTTTGCACCGACCTGGAGATGTGTTGGTCTGTGCCAGAAATAGGTTAGGAGCTGTTGTAAAATAGTTGATAATTGTTAAACATTGTTAGTTTGGTTGTTATATTGTAAAAGGGGTTTAAAGGGTCGTTATAAGAAATACGGTACTCAATGTACCGTATTACACCTCAGTAAAGTGCACCAGCCCCGAGCGAAACGAGCCAGCCTGGACAGAACTGTAATGGCCAATCGAGCGCCTTAAACCTTCATGCAAATGAAGGATCCAAACAGAAACCAACCCAAAAAACAGGACAAAAAGGAGCATCTGACCCAGGGAAGCTATACTGCTCCATCTGGGACATCGCTGCTCAAGAAAACCCAGCGCCAGTGCTGCAGCATCCTCCATAGGAACACTCCTGCTTGGCCCGGAGGGTTTTTTCTCCCCCCCCCCCAGTCTTGGTGACACATTCTTTTTGATAACTGGGTAAAGAACAAGCAATATTCCACAAGCTCAGAGAGAAATAAAAGATAGCCAAATAGTCTAGAGGATTCTGATTCATTTATTGAATACATGACAGGTAAGACAGACAGTGTAAAATCACATGTATTATTTGTACTTTAAAAAAATTACAATAAATTACTGAATAATTAGTAAAAGCAGTTTTACTAATGGCTGCTCTCCAGTGATACAGGACAGAGGAGGCAGAGAAATAAGAAGTATGTACCAGCTGTGAATACAGACCAAAAATGTCATGAGGATGAATTAACACTGAGTAGCACACCAAGTAGTGTCAAATGGGAACATCCACATGTGTCCTTCCTACCTTTAGATCCCAAGTGCCAGCCAAAAGCTGGATCACACCTTGCCTTCAGTGCAAGGTCTGCTCTGGCCGAGCAGCAAGTCTCTGGCCCTGCCCCTGGCAAGGCCACTGCCTCCCTGCTGAGATGAGTTTATCTACAGTAACAGCATTACTTCTCCTCCCGTGGAGAACACACTCTGCTACCAGAAGGGCGACTCACAGTTGCCTCTGGGTTTAATTTCAAAGAGCACTCACTAAGTCTCCCAGTTACTTTGTCTCTAACTGGAACGAGCTCTGGTATTCCCATAAGGGGCTGCTGGCAGAGCCACGCTGCTCTGAATTCTTCCCCTTTAGGTCAAATGCCCTTGGATGTGCAGTAGTTTCTAAGAGCCATTGCTAAACTCTTAAGAAAGAACACTGAGCAGCAGTGGGTGGCACAGTGCTCCTGCACAACTTCTGCCCAAAGCATTTGTGAGGGCTGACTGACCAGACAATTCTTAGGGCTCCTCCTAAAGGGCCCCTTAGGTCCTCCTCCTAGGAGGGCCCTCCTTAGGGGACCCATCTCTAGCCAGGAAAAACAGGGAATCAGCACTAAATAGCCAATGTATCATCAGGGAAAGTCCAGCAGACCAGTGTGCCACTCCCCTGGAATGCTGAGGCTGATTCACTGACTTCTATTTTGGGAACGTATTCCCTCATTATAACCATCATGGGCCCACTGATTGACTCAGTATCACTTCTGCACTGAAGTCAAGGAGCTTGTGGCTTCCCAGACAAACTAAAAACAATATCTTTCAAAGAAACAGAAAAGCAAATGCTAGAAAACCAGGTTTGCCAGAAAATTCCTGAATTGTGAAGGAGAAAGTAAATGATGGTACACTATGAAAATGCCAAATCACATGTGAAAGAAACCTGCAGGTCTGAGCAATGTCTGTGTTTAGATCTCAGGGTGCTGGGAGCAGTGGGGCACATTTGCTTTACAGCTGCTGAGTCACAGAACAGCTTACAAGAACGTACAAGATTATTTATAGGTCAGAGTCCTACAGCACTTGACTACACTGCATTAGCTCTCAGACTGGCAGCCAGAGGTGAGCATGGTTTCAAGCCAGGCTGCATCTGCTGTGCAAGTTACCCAGGAAACCTACAGCAAACAAGGGCAGGCAAGGAGCAGTTACTGTCTGAAATAAAACTTCATTGAAATAAAAGATAGCAAAAGGCAGACATGCATAATTTATGGTGGTAATTCTATATGTCAGGGGCTATTAGGTTCTAATGGCTCTCAAAAATGTAAATCTAATTCTCTCAGCGAGAGTAGCCAAAGAAACACCTACACAGTCACTGTCAGGAGCCCCTTATCAACTGGATTCTATTGTAATTGTGTAGTTACTGGTCTCTGAATAAACAAAAAAAAAAAAACCCAAACAGAAAATACCAAACCATCCTGCCATCTGCCACACTATCTTCCTGTTTTATCTCCCAAAGACAACTCCTGATTTTTTGAGTTCACCCTGACACAGAGGAAAGTTCATAGTCACTGGATGAACTGAACTGCCTCTCTACCTTCTTCTGATCCTTGATCTTTTGAAGAATGTTGACTTTTTTCTCAAAGTAGTTAACGAGGGCTGTTTCTGTCAGCATGGAGGCCAAGATCTGCTCGAAGGAGATGGACCAGTCAGTGTCAATGGTGCTGCCATACCTGGCAGCTGCACTGCTGCCCTCACAGCCCACCAGTACTGTGTCGTCCGCGATGTCTTCGCACTGCAGGGAGCCTGTGCTGACCATGGAGTAGGAAGACATGGACATATCATCTTTGGTTTCATCATCTGATAGCAGCTGTAAAGGAGAGCCTTGTCCTTCCCCTGACCCATCTCCTAGAGTTTGGTTTTCCTGCTGGGTTTTTTCAGGCTGAGCATCAACGCTGGCTTTGTCCTCATGGTCAGCTTGGGGTTGCTGCTCCACTGCTGAATTGTGACTCTGTTCAGATGTTGGTGACTCCTCTTCACTCACAGGATCTTGGGCACTATTTGCTTTGCAGTCCTCAGACTTCCTCGTGGGCCTGTTGGAGAACTTTTTTCCAACTTCCCCAATCCTCAGCAGCAGACTGGCCACAGTGGCGATGGCATGGTACAGCTCCTGCTCCACGGGGTCCTCACTGAACATGTTGTAAAGGGTCTTGCATAACTCTATGAACTGTTCCTTTAAAAGACAAAGACCAAATAATCATGGATCAGGCTGAAAAAAGTTGTCAGTGGCGGATGAAGCAACAGGCACCATCTCAAATGACTCATTGCTTATTTGCCTCCCCACCAAGTGGCAACTTACTGCACTGATTCAGAACAGTCTGACACAGACAAACTCCCCCTCCTCTCTGTTGTGGCTAAATTGAGACACAGCTAGCAATTTAATAGTGGTGGGTTTTCTGCTGACAGATGAACAGAACAGTCACATATTCACTAATGCTAAGAAAACCTGAAGTTTTACTTCTATTCTGCTACTCTTCTGTGGTCAGCTTCTAAGCATTTCTGAACTGGTTTAAATAGCACCCATCAAGGAAATTAGAGACAGAAGAGATCACACCAGTCATCTGACTCTCTCTTCTGTAACCACATTCTTCACTCTCCACCAGGCAGCTGTAACTTGAAGCAGTGCAAAACCAAAAAAGCTGAACAAGTTTCTGTGACTGATGGCATATTTGAAACATCCTGCTCTGGGGGGAAAACCAAGTGCAATTCTTATAGGAAAAACTGGTCTGTGAGGCTGAGTGAATCCCTTACATTTGATTGGTTGGTACAAAGCAGTTTGTCCATATCCACTGCAGAATTCAATAGAAATGTGTGGAATTAGAGGTCCTAAAGTTCACCAGACCAGAACAGCAGGGAAAGCTGTGGCAAGGACTGAACATCCTGGCACAATGGCTGCACACACTGCAGAATTCTACTAAGCTGCCAATGATCCAACTGGAAACCTTCATACTCCCTTCTTACCTGGCTCATTTTGGGGAGATCTTTAATGGTTTCTTTCTTGTTCTCTTTTTCCTTGGCCCACATTCTTAGGTAGTATCTGTAGTCTTGTGGACTGGTACCTTTCTCCTCTGCAAGGCAAGAACAAGCCACTAGTCAGGTAGTTTATGGTTTCAGACTTAAAAAGTGAATGCTGAAACAACAAAAATCAGGCTTGAAGAAGGTGTTATTGACAGCCCAGGAAAACATCTACCAGGAAGGCTGCATTGTTTTCTGCTGGTTTATCTGATGCAGCTCAGCAGAGCAAAAAATTTAACAGTGCTGCATCAGTTTGACTTCTCACAGACGAGCTCTGTGAGTTG